GGTTGGATGAGAAAACACAAGATGGGGGCCGGGGGTTTAGCTCAGTGGTTCTGTCACCTGCCTCACAAATGCAAGGTCCCAAGTTCGATCCCTGGTACCAAAAAAAAAAAAAAAAAAGAAAAGAAAAAGAAAACACAAGATGGGCCAAAACTATGATCAACCAATAAGTTTACAACAATATAGAATATTGATTAAATGGGTATCAAATGATGAAGCAAGTCGTGTAGGTAGTGTACAAGGAAAGAACAACGTTTTCCCATAAGGGGTGGGTCAGGGATCTTTCCGGAAAAGGGTGGGCTAAGACCTTGACCCCGGTGATTGATACCTATTTAGAATATCAGTCACTGCTATTCATCCTAGGGGAAGCACTCCCCAAGTGTAGTAGTTTCTCTTGTTTTACAATGTCGGCCTTCAGTGACTGTGTCTCCACTGTCCTCCATGTTGACTCCTCGAGGGCCATCACTGTCTAACTGCCTACAAGATATCTAATTAACTTACCTCTCTACAATAGTTTAACTCACAAACTGGGTGCAAGAAGAGAGTAACGACGATAACTTATAATAAAATAGAACAGCTATAACAGTGCACTGTAATAAAAGTTATATAATTGTCTCTCAAAATCTTTTTCTTTTTTTGTTTGTTTGCTTGTTTGTTTTGGGTTTTTGAGCCAGGGCCTCGATATATCACTCAGGCTGGCTTTGAACTCACTATGTAGCCCAGGCTGGGCTGTCTCAAAATAAAAAGTAAAAAGAGGCTGGGGCCATAGCTCAGGGCCAAGGCCCTGGCCAATTCCCAGTATCACCAAGGGAGAAAAAATGTCATTGCCTTGGCGTCTGTCTCTCTAGATCCATAAGGTGGCGCTGTGGAGCTGAGTAGTAAGGCACAGACCGCATAAGTAGGATCCTGAGTTTGATGCCCAGTGCTGCTAGACCACCTAACAAAACAATTCACTCTCAGCTTTTCTAGGAAATGTTCTTGGACAATCTGACCAAACATAGCTCACCCTCATTTATCATGATGGCATCAGCACTCAGGAAGATTGGCAGTAAACTTTATTCATATGTACTTTTCATATAATTTATTAGTAGCACATGTACAAATGCTTTCTTTCTACAAACACCTGGCAACTCCATGGTATAATTTAAAATCTCTTTGTTTTTGTTTTTGGTACCAGGAATTGAATTCAGGGCCTTGTGCTTACCAGGCTAGTCCTGTGCCCCTGAGCTACACCCCTGGCCTTTCTTTTTTTATTTATTTATTCTTTTTAGTGAAAAGCACATTTACTAAAGTTCCATGATCCAAACTGACTTTAAATCCTCTTTTTTTTTTTTTAACCTCTTTTCTTTATGATGCCAGCCTGCCTTGGGTATTTTGTTACAGTAACAGAAAATGGACTAAGCTGGCCATGGTGGCATACTCCTATAATTCCAGCACTCTGGGTGGCTGAGGCAGGAGGATCACAAGTTTGAGCCCAGCCCAGGGAAATTTAATGATTTAGTGAGATCTTATCTCAAAATTGAAAACAACATGAACAAAAGGGAAAGTGATGTAGCTCAGGGCAAAGGCCTTCGTTCAATCTTCAGTACTGAAAAGCATAAAATAAGGAGAGGGAAGGTTGTAGGACCTGCACTAGGTTTTGGAAAGAAGCTCAGGAATCTAGGATTTGTGGATACAATCATGGCAAGGTACTGTCTTAACCGACCTCCCCCCTTGCTGGCCAGAGATCAGATGATTCCACACTGACATCTGCATCCCAACCTCAACTGTGCATTAGACTGCTGCTTCCCTTCAAAATGACGTTATTTTGGTTGTGGCTCAAACCTCTGAAGTGCCACCCACATCTTCAGTGTTTAGCAGAGGTTGCCCCACTCAAATGCAACACATGTCATAATACTAGCTATGCTGAGACTTATGTACCTTCCCTCAATTATCTTTGTTTTTTAATCTTTTTTTTTGTTGTGGTGGGTTTTTTTGTTGTTGTTGTGGGGTTTTTTTTTGGTACCAGGGATCGAACTTGGGTCCTTGCACTTTCGAGGCAGGTGGAACCACTGAGCTAAATCCCCCGGCCCTTCCCTCAGTTATCTTTGTATGAAGCTAGGGTTGTCTCTTTCTCTTTTTTATTTTGTTTTTTATTTTTGAAACAAGGTCTCACTGTAGCCCAGGTTGGCCTTGAACTCACAGAGATTCTCCTGCCTCAGTCTTCCAAGTGCTGGGATCACAGGTGTGCACCACCACAACTGGCTTGTGTCTTTTTTTTTTTTTTTGGTTCCAGGGATCGAACTCAGGTCCTT